GAGCGAGAGAAGACGATCACGGCGAACGGCGACGACGAATCGCCTTCTCGTTCGCCTTCAGAGCGAGATCGAGGAACAAAATTTTTTTTTGAGAAAATGCTTTCTCTTTCGCAGATCTGGCCCAAAAAAATAAACACCATCCACTCATATCTYGCCACGTGTCCACGTGAGACACAAAAGAGCTGTCTCAGTAATCTTGTTGGGCTGAGACGTTTTAGACCCAAAATCAATCTGACCTAATTGTTTATTAATATTTTTTGGGTTGAAACCCAAATCAATTCATGGATGCAGATGCTCTCATATCCATAGATCTCGGTACGTAGTTGGTAGTGAAACATGTAAAAGTCTTCTTACTCCTTATGAACTCGTGTAGGTGTGTGGAGAATGCATGTCTAATTGTCTATTCTTTGGCAATCTTTCAATCAATGTCAAACCAACACGACACATGAGTTATTATTACTCAAAAGCCATGGACCAAGACATGATTCTCCACCTGACACCTTACACAACCACTTGGTAACTGAGTAATGCATGATAATCATTTTTTTTTTTGTATAAGCTAAAAAGGCAAAACAAGACATTTAACCAGGTCAATCCGATCTGAATTCAGCCATGTAAGAACATATGACTATTCCCTCCACCGGAAATCTCATGGCATGTCTGCAATCGTCTCACCTAATGCGCCACACAACCGCTTAGTAACTCAGTAATGCATGATAATCATTTTTTTTTAGTATACGTTAAATAAAAACAACACATGGCATTTAACCAAATCAATCCAATCTGAACTCAGTCATGTAACAACATATCAAAACCCTCCCCCCACCAAAATCTCACGTCATGTTTGCATTCCGTCTCACCAAACATTAAAAAAGCAGACCATTGCTGGTTGGAGAATTTTAACCCCTTTCCAACAAATTTTATTTCTCTCTTCAACTCTTACACAAATGGTAGATTGGTCCTAGACCACCTTAGCTAAGACCAAAACTCTAATTTCTACTTTCTTTATTCTTCATGTAAACACAACTATTCTTCTAATGATGTTGACCCATTTTGACTAGTCATAAAAAGTCTTTAATATGACAAATCCTTCTTTGTCCTCCTAGAGATCGCTTTAAGAATGCTAATGTTGATAAAATGGCAACTTCTAAAATAATGGTGACGAATTGAGTTCTTCTCCAAATCTTAGCAATGAGTATAGCATAGGTTGCTTCAAACTGGTCAAACCATCTACTCAACACCATTTTGATATAAAAAATGGTGCAATACATTGGAGATACGCTCAAGCGAATGATACGTTTTTACGACGAATAAATTTAAGCATTAAAAGATACAAAATTCTATCCCAACTTATATTTTGAAAATTTGAAAAACAATGATGAAAAATCAAGATGAACCATAATGTTTCCTTGCTTCAAAAATAATTTACATGTCTTTTCAAAACCACAAAACCTAAAAATTGACAGGTTGTGACTTCTTCAAATTATTTTTGTGGTGATTATAAACAAGTCGGTAACAAGATATGTAAATTTAATGAACCGGTTCCATTTATTAATAACTTTAAGCCCTCTAATTTTTTTTAATCAATATTTAGATAAGCATCTTTATCAAAAGAAATTTTTAGCATAAGCATATTTATAGATAACATAATCTAATCTAATCTATGTATTTTTTTTATAAAACGTGGTAAATGTTCTACGTGAGAA